AGCTGCAGAGGAGCCACAATCCAGAAGCCCCAGGTGAGAAGAGTCTGCCCCTGGCCTCCACCCAGCCGCAGAGAGGAGCTTGAAAACGAGTCCTGGGCCCAGGTTCTGGAACTGATGCCCCACGGACAAGTCCACTCTCCAGGCCTGGAGGCCGAGGGGGTTAGGACTCAGCCCCAGTGAGCTTCAGGGGCTCTGTATGTGGGCACTTTCAAAGCCAGGGCCTCAGTCAGCCTGCAAATCCTTCCCTAGGAACACAGGCTGAATGGCACACTCTCAACAAGGAGCCATCAGGAACAAATCAGGCTACTTAGACAAACACAAAGGCATGGGCCGCAGCCTAGAGCCTGGGCAGGTTAAATGATTAGGTTCCACACCCACACCAACTCCAGGCCTCTCCTTCAAGGTTGGCAGAAGTAGGGCTTTGTCTAATACATAGACACAAACAGAGAGTCTAACAAGATGAGGAAACAGGAATATGTTCCAGGAAATTCCAGAATGTTCCAAAGGAAAGAGCCTTCAGAAAAAGGCCTTCATACACCAGACATAAGGAATCTGATTTTTAATACACCCAAAATAACGGTCATAAAGATTCTCACCCAAGCGAGAACTTCAACAGGGAAAAAATATAAGGAAGTTCCAGAAAGACGTAATAATGCAATGAGTGAACTTTAAAATATGCCAAAGTTTCGAGCAGAAGCATGGAGAAAGCCTGATGGGTGTTACTGCTTTTTAATCATTCTATGAGGCTAAATAATGTCTATTTCCAAGAGTATATTACAGGATAAAGCTTTCCACAAACAGCAATAAATAAGGGTTGATTCTGTGGGAAAGAAACAGCATTTTTATTAAATTAGAGAGGACTCCCACATCTGGCAATACAGTGGGTGCCACACAGTTTGTTGAATGACTGTATGACGGGCCTTAACAATGTGGTATCCCTTGAGATGCTAGACGGCCCTCCTCCAGCTTGAAGCCAGCTAACACAATGACACAGTGGGAAGCAATTCTCAGATCCATTTAGAGCAAACTGAGCCCAAATCCCAAAGGAGCAGGGAATGAGGACTTTTTCACTTAGCTCCCTTTCAGAGACCTCCAGGTTTTTTTAAAGATTCCGGGTCCACTCGTGTGACTCCAGTAAGGGAAGGCTGATCAAGCCAGCGTCCTCCAGGGCTTTCCCAGTGAGAAATGGACCACGGGGGCTTCCTCAGCCCTGGATGTTCCTTGGGGACCCAGGCCAAGATGGTTAGAGTTAGTTCTGGGCTAAACCAAATCCCTAAACCAACCCGAATCAGAAATTTTTAGAGACACTGGAAGCAAAATCTCAGGACACCGCCAGAACACGCTGTTTCTCTGGTCCCCTGAAGTTCAGGCTCCTGACCACATCTCGAGACAGCCCGCAGCATGAAGACTGGTGATGGCTTAGGACTTTAATCTGATATATTTTACAATAGAAAAAGTGAAATCAGTCATTATTTCCCAAGTTCGTACAAATTCAACTTCTCACTAAGAGGTGCGCCACCTCCTGGCATTATTGAAACTAGGTCACTCCATTTCAGAGTCAGAAGAGGCTTCGGAAGATCAACTTACTATCTCCTTTCACTTCAAAGAAAAAGCAATATTTCTCCATTTTGCCTTTTATCACAAGGCAGGGGGTTGGGAACATGAGCAGTGGGTCTCCCTCATGTCCCCCCAAAGCCCAGGCTGGCGCCAAACCCAGGAGGGGCCATGCCTTGCGCGTGCACCCCCACCTTGCACTCACCACGTTGAAGCCCAAGGGGCGGTGAGAGCCCCCAGATTCCCCTCCCCCTCCGCACCCCAGGCCGGGCGCACAGCCCTGGAAGCCGGGTGGCCTGCGAATTAGCAAATAAAAACACAACTACACTTGAATGTCAGAGCAAATGACAGCAAGCAGCAGGCACGCCCCACGCGTGTCTAGAGCGCGCGTCTGCTGAGAAAGGCCCTTGATTCCCTGAGATGCAGCCGCAGCCGGGCGCCTGGGTCAGGCCGGGACTCGGTGTAGACAGACGCCCCTGCGCGAGGACCCCCCGGGCCGAGAGCTGTCCTTGGTCCTCGTCGTGACACCAGCAGGGCGAAGGCGAAACGAGGGGTTCGTCGCGCCCCGCGAGCCCGCACGTGGCCGCCGACCTGCGCGCCCCTGGCCCGTGCAGGTGCGCCCCGGCGGGGACCCCGAGCGGGGCGAGGAGGCGCGGGGGACCTGGAGGAGAGCGCGGCGGGGGGGGCGCTGGGAGGCCCGGGGCGGGGCGGGGCGGGGAGGCAGACGGGCTGCAGGTGCAGGGAGGCTGTAAAGGAACAAACTCGGAGCCTTTCCTGCGTTTCCAGTTTCCTCCTCCACCCAGAAAAAGAGCAGATTCCGGGGTTCAAGGGAGAGGGCGAAGGACCCCGCGGGCTGCCAGCCCCGGATTCTTCCCCATTAGGGGATGGGCCGTGGCCACCTGTAAAACCTTTGCCGAAACCCGGGATCGAACCAGGGACCTTTAGATCTTCAGTCTAACGCTCTCCCAACTGAGCTATTTCGGCTGCTTTTGCGCGGCGCGCTCTCGGAGCTGCCATGAAGAACCTCGGTCCAGCGCCGCGAGGGTCAGGGCCAGGCCAGTGGGAGGCGGGCATTGAGCGAATTCCTTTTTTTTTTTTTTAGAAAAATTAAAAAATATATATTTTTTATAATCACTTATAAAATTATTTTAAAATCATTATTCTTCTATCCCTTCTTAATCATTTCCAGTAACATTGACATTTTTCAAATATTAATGCTTACATTGAAAAATGTTGACATTTTCTTTGCTTAATGTTTCAATGGGATTCTTATTTCTCTTTTGCTAAATCATGAGCTTCTTATGGAGGCATCAGAACCTTTCTTTCTCTTGCTTCATTTCTTGAGCGAATTCTTACGTCGGGAGTGACAAACCAGATGACCTCAGGTGATAAACTAGATGCGCTCATTTCATTGTTCTCGGTTGTTTGTTTTTTGAGCCGCCCGTAATCTGCATTACTCATTGAAAAGCAAATCATAGGCTGTTTTCCGGCTTGCAGACCCGGGTCCTCCTGGGTGAGCCGTGCACGGCATTGAGAGCAGGATAGGACGGGGCACATGCAACCCAGTTGCTAATGATGGATGTTTTGATTCACCCCTGGTTTTCATTATTAAAAACAATACTGGAATGATGAGCCTTTTGGATTTGTTTTTCTTGTGAGAAGGCAAACGTAGCCAGGTCAAGAGATGTGAACATTTTCAAGTGTTCAGATATTGTCACACTGGGCTCAAGGTCATGCACCCGGGAAGGCCGCACATGAACTTGCACCTCCAGATGTGATATATATACAGTCACTGTAGCTGTATGTTGACAGCATTGACTTGCTAAACCCAGAATTTCAAATTTGCCTCGTTTTCTAATCTCATCTTGGTGCTTTAAATTTTTTAAGTATCTGGACATTGTTAAAAAGTGGAATTAGCTCAGACATCTCTCAAACTCTTGTGATGCAAGCTGGGTCTAATAATATCACATCATATGCTGATTTTATTCCACCCCCACCCTCCATTTCAAAATTTTGAATCCCTTGCTTTCATATAGACACACACATAGGAGTTGCTCTGGCCCTAATGGAAACAGAATCTCTGCAGATGGGGCTCGGGATTATATATTTATTTATAAGGCGAGCTGGCAATTCATGAGCACCGTCTCTTGGCCTCCCATTCCTCATTCTCACAAAAAGGGAGTTATCCCATCGGGACCATGCTTTAAACTGCCTAATCAACCTCTCCACAGCACCTCCAAAAATAAACCTATCTTTCCCTATCAACTTGTTTATCTTACCACCTTCCATCTAAGTTTTGTGAGCCAGAAAAATACCAAAATTCTTGCTCCCTCTCCCCCTCCCTCCCTCTGCCATCATCATACCCAAGTGCTGTTCATGCCGGTTCATTATTCTGGAACCCTCCACTTCTCTTCAATCTCACCTCATCGCCAACATGTCTTTTTAAAAAAATATTTATTCATGCATACAAGATCCACTGTGGACTTCCAGCTATGCCTCCCTTCAGGACACCCCAACGGTACTTGCCACAGTGACCCCCTCAAAACAAATGTGCACTGCAGCGTGGAGTAATCTAAGTAGGAAACTACTTGTCAGCGGCCTCCCAACCCCGTTTTTCCAGAACACAAGGCTGTAGAGGTCACAGACTCTGGGGTTAAACAAACCCAGCTTTGAATTCCAACACTGTGACTAACCACTCAGCTACGTGACCTGGAGTGGATTTACATTTTTTTCAGTGCCTTTATCTTCAAAATTACTGTAACATTTACCTCTTAAATTTGTTCTAAGCCAGACAACGTTCAGTTCCTATCTGAGTTCACTGAACGCAGCTAATGTACAGGCCTCCCCGTGGGGCGGCGGCTGGGCCTGCTCTCATCTGCGGCCTCTCCAAGGCCCTTTGGTCATCTCCTCCCCTCCCTGAGCCTAAAGAAGCATGTTAGGTTTTCAAGTTACTTCCCTCCAAGGTCTTCAGCACTCAATTGCTTTTATTTCAAAATATACCAGTACTGAATACCCAGTATAAATCCATTTCCCTGGATCCTCTGAGGACCCACACTGGCAGAGACTCAGCTGTTGAGGGAATCCCTACACCAAGCAGCTAAAAAAAATCTGAGAACCTAAACGGGCAAGGGAAAGGAAATTCAAGAAAACTTTTAATTTTTGAGTTGCCACAGGACCAGTATCAAAAGCACTAGAAACTGCTCCCCGTGTCAAAGCGGGGAGTTGACAATTATATGATATCGAAGGGATGACTTCCAGCCTGCGGCCCCTCCGCAATGCCGGGAAACAGCCGAGACTTCTGGAAACCCACGCCCAGTTGTCCTTTTGGTTTCTCAAGATCAGGCGTCCGACTCCCGACTCCCGGGAAGAGCAAATGCCCCCGGGACCAGCTCCCACCACCACTTCCTGCCTAGTGGGAGCAGAAGTGAATCAGACAACCAATATCACTTTTTAAAAATTATTTAATTTAGTATTTTCTTGGAAAAAAAACAATAAGGCAAAAAAACCGAAAATATATATAGTTTTGTTTTCAAGTGACTTTATTTCACCTGAAGGACTCAAAGCTTCTTCCGTTAGCAGGAATCTGACGGGGTGTCAGGCCAGAAATGTAGTGCAGGTGGCAGAGCAAGATGGGGGCGAAAGCAGTGACGTTCAACGGAGCCGCGGAATGCCCACTTCAGCTAAACTCTGCCCAGGTCACACTGGAGGGGCCTCCTTGGAGGAAGCTCTGGCATAACCCCTCGCTCACGCTGGCTCTCTGGTTCTCAGGAAACCCCGACAGCGGCCCCGCTTGTGTGGCATCCCAGCTGGAAGGGCGGGGCGGTGGGGAAGGAGTAAGAGCACTGATTTACCAGGTACAAATCCAGTTTCCCTGGAGGGATGGCTTCCTCTGGAATGATATTTTCCCCTAGGACCCACGCCGGCTGAGGCTCAGCAGTTAAGGAACAGAAACAAAAATACTAACAAAACGCATACAAGGAAGGCACCTCAATTTGTGATCCTCAACCACGGGTGGGCGGCACAGGGTGAGATTCCTGAACGAGACAACTAAAACAAGAACAGAAACGGCGGAAGCCAGAGCCCAACAGGAGTCGTCCTCGCCCCTCCCCACAGCCTAGGAAGCAGGTTGTTTGGGCATCAGCTGCATGTGCTGTGGTTTGGGTAGAGGCAGAATCAAAGTGGAAATGACCCAACTCTTGACCCATCCCTTCCTAACAAAGAAGGAAAACAGGCAGGAGAGGGCAGGAGCTCCGAACGTCAGGCCATGAGGCGCGCAGGGTTCAGATAGCAGCGCGCCCTCATGAGACACACCTCAGGGGAAGCCCCTGCTCCTAACTGCCTGACGCCCTCCTGCTCCAGTTTCAGATTCATCTGCCCCCCAAAAGGTGGACATCAGAGGAGTCTCCGATCCAAATCAAAGTGTCTAAGAGAGTCCCAGGGAGACAAGTGATATCAAAACACAAGATTCTTAATGGGAAGAAGGAAAATCAAACCAAAAAATTAGATTTTTCTCTACATATATATAATATACAGATATTTAACACATTATTCCAGAGGTGGCTCCAGTCCATGGGCTTGAGAGATGGTGAAAACTCTTATTTGATGAACTCCTCTCAAATTCTGAAGTGTATCAAAACGGAACAAGTGGCGTTTTGCTCCACACTGGGGCACAGACCCAAATTGGTATGGGGGGAGGGGGCTGCGGAGGACGTGGGAGAGGGAGGGAGTCAGAGAGGGAGGGAGGGCAGAGAGAAGCCAGAAAGGAGATGAAGGGTGGGGGGTGAGCAGAAAGCAGGAATGGCGAGCAGTCCTTCCATCCTGCCCTGTGTTCCCACAAGTTCTCGGCCGGGAAGTCTGTCCAGCCCCTCTGTGAGGATAGCGGCCCTCCTACCAATCACCAAAGTGGCCTCCGGTGCCGTCAAAGAAGATGAAGAACAGCGGGAGGAAGTTTTAGCAAGTGAAGACAGAGGCTTCCCAGGATGCAACTAATATTCCAAACAAGCTCTCTCACGAGTGTTCGGGTCCCTCAGCGGTCTGTGCACGAACGCCCCACGGGACGGCCCCGCTGGCGCACACGCTTCGGAAGGCTAGGCCTCCGCCTCGCCGCACCCGCTCACTAAGCCTCCGCTGCTGAGTCTCTCATGTTTCTTTTTAAAGGAGCTTCTAAAATCAGCTCTTGCTCTGAACAGCACCAAAATGCCCCTGAATCACACTGACGCAGGTCTTGGCTGAGCAGGAAACGACAGGGGCGGGGGAGCGCCGGCATCGCGCACGGGGGCAGAGGGAGAAGAACACTGGGCTGTGCAGCAGTGGAGCAGCACTGCCACCGGCCTCTGGCGCGCTCCTCACAAACACAGGTATCTAGTATTTCGATTTCAGTTTCAATCAGCTAAGGCAACCAGCCAATCACCACCACTGGTGTCTGCTTCTGGTGATTGATTTGGAAAATGATTGGTTAAGACAGACAAACTTGAGGAAAGCACTCGGTGAGAGGCACAGCGCCTGCTTCCCTCACATCCTCTGTCCTCTTCGCCTTTGGATCCTCCTCCTTTTGTCCCGCTGTCTCAGAAAATGTCTGGGCATGAGTTCCAGTCCTGCTTTTCTTTACTCTCCCAGTATCCGCCCCGATAAATATGAGTCAACTCCTTGGTAACCGGGTCCTTCTTCCGCTCAAACCACAGCGCCTTATAGGGGTCGTAGGGCGTGCCTAGAGGGGAAAGAGGGCAGAGACAGACCCAGTGAGAGCCGAGAACACCCGATCCCCCGCCTCTGAGAGTGAAAAGAGACAGGCCTGTACCATCTTCTGTGGCTTTCATAGCTTCTGCTTCTCTCTTCTTCCTGGAGAGTCTCTGCTTTTCCTCCAGGCGCTGCTTCTCAGCGTTGGCTTCATCCCAGCGTCCGTTCTCCATCAGCCTCTGGTCAGGCCGCAGCCGGCTGTCTGTGGGGGCAGTGCCACCTTCCCAGGCATTGAGAGTTAGAGCAAGCTCCGAGAAGTAGTACATGTTCTCGGCATTCTTCCTAAAAGGGAAGGACGGGAAGAGACGGGTGATGGCAGGGCTAGGGGGCCACGACTGCGAGCCGGCCCAGAGACCCTATCCGCAGGGCTGTTCTACAAGAGGGAAGAATCTAGAACCAAGTCAGGATCCCCTAACTGGACTACCCCCATCCCCACCCTGGATCATTCCACAGGATCCTTTTCTCAACTTGAGATGTGCTCCGCTGAAATAGGAAATTCCTTCGAAGAGAGACACATTCTCCTAAATGAATACTCCTTATGGCTGTTTTCGTTTAAGCCTCTTTCTGGGATAACCTTGGCTACTGCCACAGACTAAAGGCTCGAGATGATGAGAGCAGACAAATGGCTGCATCTTAATCTGTGCCCGAGGCCTCTATATTATCTGAGTGGCCTTCACATCGCTGTTGGGCCCGTGGGCGAAACTGTTAACAGGCGGTAGCCCCTTTCTGTTAACAGGCGGTAGCCCCAGCTGCTTCTGAACACTTTTACTCTAAATTACAGAAAAGCATGTTTGAACCACAATCCAAAGGACCTTCAGAAACCATCACATTTTTTTTTTTTAGCAGAGGTGGTTTGATTCATTTAACTCTCTCAGAACAAGGCAGCTACCCCTCACGTCAGACAGTGCCGACCTCCCAGCATCTCCCCGGAGATTGGGATTTCCTGTGCTCGATCCCACAGAGGCGCCAGGAGGAAGGCAGGCAGAAGGGCCACTGTCCACGCGCCAAGGCCGAGCTCAAGGTGGTGTCTGGGCAGCACGGCCACTGATACTCACGGCAAAGGATTCCTCTTCCACAGCACGACCCTGCTGTCCTCTGCTTCGTGGCCTCTCTGGCGGGCATCACCCCCGTTCTCCCCAGTGACCGGCTGTACTTTGAAACAATCCATTTTCTCATCCCACGTTCCCAGAAGGGCGAAGTGAACTTTCCCCGATGGATCTGTCACCTCCCCTGTCACCTACAGGAATGGGAGCAGGACACACATTCACCGTGGGTTAGCATGCCTCTTCTGGAAACAAATCTAATTCACGGTCAGACAAACACCATGGTGTGTGACCTTTCTGTCATATTTTCTTGAGCTGCTCAAAATAACCGAGGCATGTGTTGGGGGTTTCATTACCATTTTATTGTACAGGGAGTTTTGTTGCAGTGATAATATGTAGGAAAAGCTCTGACCGGTACTCAGAATTATGGCATTTCCTTCTCTCCAGACATCAGAGAGAACCACAAACAGATTTAAATGCCCGACTATTCCTTCCTCTCCCCAGCGACTCGGGGTGCGCCTTCACAGTGGTACGCATCCACAGCTGGATTCCAGCACTGCTCTCACTCCAGCCCCTCAGGCCTCCTTTGGGGATCCCAATTTCCATTTCTCATTGCTCTTGACTTTTCACTTTCTTACCTGTTGTCCTTCCCAGAAAAGAGGATTTGGGTTAATCATACAGCAAATACCCTTTCCTGCTGATTTTCTCCTTTACCTCTCCTTTGTGAATCACCATGTTTATGTACACATATATATTATGTACATATATATATTTAGATATCTGTCCTTCTGTCCATCTACCTGTCCAGCCAGCCAGCCTCCATCTCACCAGACCCTTACTAAGGAATACACACTGAATCAAATAACTTTAAATTCCATTTTCTCTTACCTTTCTTGCTACATCTCGAGAGAAGTAGCTGTAAGGAACAAATTTGAGATTGCACTTGTCTCCCGTCTTGTGATTCACAATATCAATTTCACCAGACTATAAAATGAAAAGAATCTTGAATTAGTTTTAAGACTGGATGACCTGAATATGTGTGATGCCCCAAGACTCAATTCCTTATTTTTCAATCAAATATGCTAGCATTGGGGTTCGGGTCCAGGCCACCCCTGAGATGCTGTGGAATCCCACGACAACTCGGGTGTTCAGATTGGGATCAAGACCAGATGACCTTCTGGCTTTTTTAAAATGATGCGTCACACGTCAGGGGCATGATCTGACCTTCAGCACATGTACTGATATTCACATATAATTACTTTTCTAAACCAATCCCCATTTGTGCCCTTTGAAAACCCTATACTTAAAAGTACTCAACTCATAATACAGTGGGACAGTCTACAGATCCATTTATTTCATTTTCTCTTCCTTTCAAACTTTCAAATCCAATACTGCTCGGTAAGACTCAACTTAATTCTCACACCTACTGTGACATATTTCCTGACTGTTCAGAGAGTATTCCCTCTTTTCTGAATTTACCGCAACCATTATCTTAAGAGCAAACTGACAATTAATTGGATGTTATCTTATGCTAGTGTATTTTGTTAAATACTTTTCAGCCTACATATATTCATTATAATCTCCCATGACATAACGCCACTCTCTGAAGCACAATGTCTCATCTGACTTTGAACCCCCAGGACCTAGCACTCTGTCTGACAATGAGTGACTGATGGATAAGGGGAAGAGAGAGAGGGGCAGCCATGTTGGTTATGCTCTTGCATCCTTCACAGGCCAATCCAGGTCCATGGAGCTGCTACTGAATGACTGTTACTACTCAAGAAATGATAACTTGTCGTCGCTCAGTGGAGCTGGGGGTAAGGCTATTGCCTGAGAGAAATTCATTAGAAGTGATAAAGCAGTGACACTTGTTTGGGGCCAGTTCTCTTGTCCTAAATACTACAGAACTGCACCTAAGGAAGGATTCTTCTGAACTGCCGAGCACTCTGGCCACCTTTACTCACCTGGTCTATCCACAACTTGCCCACAATAATGTTGTGCACCGTTGTAGTAACCTTTTTCCAGGTGTAGTGGTGCCCAGTTGCATGGAAAATACAGTGGATGCTACCTGGACAGAGAGAGAAGTACACAAATTAAGACAAACACAAGACAAACAGCACCATGCTAGCTAGAAATAACAATGCATTGATTCTCTTCAATTGAGAGATCTTAATTTTCAAAAGGAAACAATAAATCAAAAAAAGGATTTGTAACCTGCCTAAATGCTGGGAGCACTGATTGAATATTTTTACTTGATTTTTAAGTTTATGATAAAATATAACAACATGAAGACAAACACTGACAACTGATACAATTCTATTAGTCGTACTGCTAGAAAGAAATAGTCCACAATTGTGCAATTGTAGAAATGAAGACAAAAGCAAAAACCCTAACCCTGTTACCAACGTTGCCTGCCATACCAGCTGCCCCATCAAGGAAAAATAAAATTGCATTTGAAAGCAGCACACACTGGCAGTCAGTACAGAGTGTGTGTGTGTGTGCATGTGCGTGCGTGTGTGCATGCTCACAGAGTAAGCAGCTATGTGACCTTAAGCAAACCACTTATCTAAGGGTCTTAAAAGTGAAAGAGGAGGAGGAGATGGAGCAGGGGCTTTGGAACAGGGAGGAAGGGATTCAATCCTGGCTCCATCACTTGTTGATGTGTGACCCTGTGATATATAATAGTTTGTCTGGTCTTTGTCCATGATTCCTGGGAGGAAACCTCTGAACCCTTAGAATTTCCCACATGATAACTGTTTTTGTTATTCGGTCAATGATCTAATCAATCACGCAAACACAGTGAGCCTGAACAACAAAGGCTGAAGGAGTCTCCCGGCTGGTGAGCACGTCAATGAGCTGGAAGGAAAGGCACCCCGAGCCCCGGGGAGAGCCGCGCGGGGCGCTCTGTTCAGGGCTCTTGAGACCTCACCCGCCGTGTGACTTCATGTGTTGGAACAGTAAATGTCTATTTACCCAGTGAAATGCATGAAACACAGTAAGCACTCAGTAAACACACTTTTTTATACCAGTGAGTTCATGTCAAATTAATACCAAACCAAAGCCAGTGGTTTGAACAGAAGTGACTGGAGAAAAGAAGTAATCAAAAAATTTAAAAGTAACATCTATATCTACATAGGTACAGATACATAGGTAAATTCTAGTAACAGTGCAACTCTAAGCTCCCTCAGCAAACATTAAGGAAAAGAACCCCTGAGTCTTGTTTGTACAAAAGACTAAGCTATGCTGGTGGGCACAGCCATGATGCTGGTGGGCACGGCCAAGATGCCAGTGGCACGAGACACAGCAAGGCAAGCTGCGGGCACCACAGCCACATGCTCTCTCAGCACGATCTCCTTCACCTGCACAACCCTCTTCAAAGTAGCTGCTCTACTGAACACATCCACAATCTCTTGCTCACCTCTCCACTGCCACCACAGCCTCAGCTAAGTCACCATCATCCCTGGCCTGAACCTCTGTAACAACCTCTTTTTAGCCTTCCAGTTTCCACTTTTGCCCCATTAGTCTCACGTCGAAATCAGCTTGATAACATGTTTTATCAAGTTATCACACTGCCATGCAAAATGTCTCCATTACCTCCCACTGCAATTAGAACAAAGTCCACCTAATCACAGTACCCCAAACCTGGCACCTACGCACCCCTCAACTAGTCCACCACTTCCCTCTTGCTCACGAGGAGACAGAGAAGTGGCTTCAGTTTCTCAGCTGCCATGCTGCACCCCCAGCCAGGGGGCACTCTGCTGCAGCACCCTCCCCAAGCCATCTTTTGGTTGGTCTCTTGTTATCTAGGTCTCTGCTCAAATGTAACCTTTTCCAAGAATTTCCTTCAAGGCTCTACCCAAGGAAACACACACACACTCATTTCTCCACTAACCTCTATCTTCATTTTTTTAAACAGAATTACCACTATATAAAATTAAATCATGTGTTTACTTTTTTGTTGACTTAAAAAAAAACCCCACAAACTATTGATCAATGAGGGCAAAGTGGTTTTTGTTCACCACTGCATTCAGTGCACCTAGAAGCATCTTTGGGCTATAGTGGGCATTCAACACCTGTTGCTCTCTCAGCTATGGGCAGTCCTGCCCCCTACATCCACTTGCTACTACTGCTGAAACCAACTGCCACACACCTAGTGGCTTAAAGCAACACAGCTTACTCTCTTCAACTCTGTAGGTCAGAGTCTAAAATCAAGGTGAGCTCCTTCTAAGGCGTCTAGGGGAAAATCTTTGGTCTTGCCTTTTCCAACTACTAGAGGTCATCTGCATTCTTCGGCCCCGGGTCCCTTCCTATTATCACTTAAGCTTCTTGCTTTGGTAATCAATGACTGATCCTCCAGTTTTCCCCTGTGACTATACTGGGTCCATAAAATAATCCCAAAAAATGGGATAGTCTCCCCTTTTCAACATCCTTAACCACACCTGCAAAATTCCTTTCACTATGTAAAGGGACGTATTCACCAGTGCCAAGGGCTAGGATGGAGACATATTCGAGGGGGTGAGGCACTGTTCAGCCTACCATATCCCCCACGTCACCAGTGAGGATTCTGAGCTCAGGTCAGTCAGTGTGCGTCAGCACTGAAGTTTAAAACAAGATTCAAACACCAATACAGGCCAGCTCATGACCCTGCACCTCACCGTGATGTCACGCTGGTTGTCCTGTGGAATGTCTCTGTTCACAGGGATAGTAAAGAACAAAGACTGCCTTGTGACTGTTCTCCTTTATATAATATTTGTGTTTTGAAAACTTGACAGTAAGTTAAAGGTTACCAACGGAACTATTTAAAATATATGAAGGCCCCTAAATCATAAAGTGTTGCAAACCTACTGCAATAAAAAATTACGTAATTTAAAAAATGATGATAAAAAAATGAGATGCATGAAGGGAAAGACAGGCAATTCCAGAATGGTCATACATCTCAATAAAACCAGTACACACACTAGGCAAAGATGATCAGAATCAACTTTTCTGTAAAAATTAGTGAAAGGCTTGCAGTAATCCATAGAGCATGTATTAAGAGAAATGGCTAAATCTCAGTAAGAAAAGTGAGCTTTTTGACATTTTCACTGGAAAGCTGTCAACTGGCCTGTGTGGTGGTTCCTGGTAACTCCCACTCACCAGGCTTATCTTTATTTGCCCTGACTCAGCACCTCAAACAGCCTTGCCCTGGGGCAATTATCACAATAATACCGGCAGCTGTCTAAGGTGGTGATAACAGCTGAGGCAGTTAAATAAATAATGGTCAGAAATTTCCCAAGTTTGAAGAAAAACGTTAATCCAAGAGGCTTAATGGACTCCAAGTAGGATAAACTCAAAAGAGCAACACACCAAATACAGTCTACTCAGAATACTGCAAGACAATGAGAGAAAACAATGAGAGAAAGTGATGCTTTCAAAAACAAGGACCCTCAGCAAGACTGCCAGCAACTACCCGGGCCAGAGGCAGTGGGTGCCACGTTCAAAATACTGAAAAAGATGATCAAACCACAAATTCTATAATCAGGAAAACTACCCCTCACAAACAAAAGAGAACTTAACATATTCCCAGATAAACAATCTAAATCATAACTAGTGGATCAGCCCTCCAAGAAATACTAAAGGGAAATAATAAAAATTTGCAAAGAAAGAAAGAAATATAAAAGAAAGTTCTTCAGAAGAAATGAAAGGACACTAGACAGCCTCAATCTATATGAAGAAATAAAGACACCAGTAGGGGCAAATATAATTAAACTATAATAAAAGCATGAATGTATTTTTTGCTTGCAACTTTCTTATTTCCATATAGCAACCACACACAGTAACAGTTATAAAACTATGTTGAATGTTACAATGTAAAAAAAAAAGATAGTTTGTAAGAAAATAAAAGCACAAAGGAAGGTCATATAGGTGGCAGTTTGTGTATACTACGGAAATTATATTGGTATTAATCTGATCTAGATTAATAGAAGTTGATTACAATACCCTGAGAAACCATGCAAAAATACTTTTAAAATATAGTAAAAGAAACAACAAAGAAATTACAATGGTAAACCAGAAAAATATTTAACAAAAAAGGCAGCATTAGTTGATGAGTAGAGGAGAAAAGAAACATAATTATAAAGAAAACAAATACTAAATAGCAGAGATAAAGCCCACCTACCAGGAATGGTAAGTGTAAATGGACTGAATGTGCTAATGAAAACACTTAGAAGAAGGGATAAAACATACAAAGGGAATCTTTTTACTAATTTTTCAGGCATAGTTCAAAGCCCACGGATCCCAGCAATATCATCAATACAGAAACCAACAGGCTAAATGATGCTTATTTTCACATTGTGATTCTCTTAGTGAGCAAACACCAGAACTACAGAACGCTCTTAAATGCATCTCTTTAAACTTCAACACTACCTACTAGTTCAAATACCTTGACGCTTGCTGAGAAAATTTGTTTATCCTCTACCATAGTTTTCATCATTTTGCAAACTTCAATCACATTTTCTAGCATTCTTCTCTCCAGATTGCAAGAATTCTAACCCTTTTAATCTATTTTACGAGAAGATTCAGACTCACTGCCACGATCTCAAAAAGCAAAAAGCCAAGGACTTGTCTACTAACAACTCCATCCATCTGTCTTTTCTTAGTGACAACTACTGGCTTAGCAACTTTACCCACAAGAACTGAGTGCCAGCACTCAATGAAATGTGCACATTTCACAACGTGATTCTCCTTCCAAGTCACTGAATCAAAAAATACTAAATAGAGTCATTCCCAGGACCAATGTCTGGAAATTCCATTCTTTACACTTTTGTGTGCAGTTTTCTGTCACTGTGACAATCCTCTGATCTCCCTAAAGAGGCTGGGCTCTTGGTTTTTTTCACTCAGGTTTCCCAAGCACCAGGAGCCATGCCTGGCACATAGCAGGTGCCCAGGATCTAACAGATGACGGGACTTAAGACAACATATCCTAGTGACCTGGGTCCTTAGAGAGCCACAGGGATGGAATCCCAGCAAAGACGCTTCTTAACACTAAAAAGTTAGATACACCTCTTACATCACATACATATATTTACTGCTCAAAGAAGTCTAAATTAATGAAATTATAGAGAAAATATACAGCATATCACTGGTAAGTCAGGTTTATTGTTTTAAATGTATACAACCCTCCATAAAGTTAAAGATATAATCTGTTTCTTTAGAGACCCCCTGGTGGCTTCTGAAACTCTTCTCCACGTGTTGCGTCAGAGTGGGCAGCGCCACTGTCACCCCAGCTCTGCAAATCAGGTGTGAACATCCAGGCGTTTAATACTCTTAACACTTTTGAAATAATTTGCTTCAAAGACAATTAAGGAAGTAGAACCTTTTATAATGGTCCTCAGAAAAGATCAAGACCAAAATCACTGAGTTTCCCTTTCTTCTAGGATTCATATTAGCCATGAGTCGACAGAGTTAACACTCTAGTTTCTGATTACTTTTACTATATTGCAAACATTCCTAGAACTTTTCTGGCTAATTTCTAGTTTGTACTCCACCTGATACATTTAGTGTTTCTCAGAGGAAAAGGAATTTATTAAAAGTGAAGACTATACTAACCAAGAATGACAATTACAGCTCATGAAGAACCAGAATCAGGAGCTGGAAGCCCCCAGGAGCCGGGCAGCTCCAGGGTCTCTCCACGCGCTTCGCACTTCGGTCTTTGAGATCCGCACCTGCCGCTCAGCACATACATGGTTGCATGTGGCTGTTCTCACTCAAAAGCGAGAATCTCTGCTACCCTTTGTGAACAATCTCATGTGCCTTACAGTACAGACTCTCTAACATTATGTATTAGGATTCCTATTCCCAGGCCCGATCTTTTTGATCTTGGTGCAAAATTAACTTGTAATCCAATAAGATCTTTGAAAATAAGTTTCACCTTACCTGGAATCCAGCCATTACATAAAGGATACCTAACCCATCTGGTAGATGAAGAGAAAGGGGAGAAAGGAGAGGAGAAGGGGGAGGGACACAGTGAGAAACCTAACCTTGCAGTCACAAGAGTTCACACTTACAGACAGAACCTGACTGCTAGTGCAATGGGGGAAACAACACTAGTTAAGAGACAGAATTTTTAAAATGCATGCTAGGATTCAGATTCTAAAATGGTACCAGAAAATGCAGTAAATACAGCTAAGACAAAGAGTCTAGGACTGAGCAGGTCCCTAAAGAATCTCCTGCCTCCTCACTCATCCCATGGCCGAGTGGCTAGGTGGCCTGCCCTCCACTATCAAGTAGGGTTCAAGCCCAAGCAGACTCCGGTCTCCTGACTCCGAGGCCAGTGGCCTCCTTTGTCATACCAGAAAATCTTTCATTCCTGGTGCACGAATTATCACAAAGATGGGGCCTTACCGAGGGGCATAATGGAGAGGTATTTGCCTCGGAACTTGCTGGTGATTTTGATCTCCTGACGCAACGTCCAGCCATTTTTGGACTCAGCATGGTGCGCAGCAGCAGGGGGGTGGTGACTCACCTTGAAAAGTGAAGGAGGAAAAAAGAAGGGAAGGAAACTGTCTATTAATTGGTGACAAACACCCCAAATTCACACTTAACATTTTATACCCACAACACGGAATGCCGCAGTCCGGGGGGGGGGGGGGGGGGCAGGTACTGCAGGAAAGCTGGAAGCCTGGGATGATAGTGAGCGGATTTCTGCAAAGTGAACACCCTGGAGGATCAGCAAAAACTCATCCCTTTCTTCAAAAAGATGTGCTAACAGCCCCAGGCCCCCTTACCTGCTCACAGAGGGACCGGTACCCACTGTCCTCTAATCGGTCCAGCTCGAAAGTCTCCCCGAGGAGCGGGTTGAATGGCTTGCTGGTACGGAAGACGGTGGTGGAGTAGGAGGACACGGTGAAAGCCGCCACGTAGCAGAGCTGTTCTAGAGAGTTCTCACATTTTGCAGCTCTGTCTAACAGTTCATGGTATTCCAGATCTTCAGTGAGGCGCTGAAGCATGGATAAGGGCTCATTAAAGTTCACCTGTCAAGAAGAGAAGAGATGTAAAAACTTTGCCCACACATCCACAAGAGACCAGTTCAATTTTTTTGCCTGTGGAGAAACAGATACCAAGATGTCAAAACAATCAAGCAAAACACTGGGAAGAGACAAGGCCTTTGTCAGTAGAGCAAAGCTGCATACAAGGCTGTCTCCCTGGTCAGCTGTCTGTACAGGGGGGCAGACATCACCCACCCATCGCTGTCAGCCTTTGAGACAGGAACCACGTCGTTCGTCTGCTCCACTCACCAGTGCCTGTCCACTGATGCCCGGCCCGAGGAGCCCGGCATCCATAGGCATTGAAACAGATAAATCAAAGAGGCAGTGTAATTTAGCACACATATACCCAGAGAGGAAGCGAAGTACTTAAAATCCTTAAGGGAGGAAAGAAAGGAAAGTCAGTTTTCAGCTAAGGTGTGTCCTAACTAGTGGAAAGATCACATTCCACAGGTTCACTCCACTCCTGAGCAGAGGTCAGCCTGGCCTCCCGCTGTGCTCCACCAGACGGGACTGTGCCCACTTCTCGGGGGCTGGACAGCTCTTTCTGGAGCTGGCACACCCACCGGGGGCTGTATTTCCACCTCCCAGGCCTCGGAGCCCACTGAGGGGGCTCATCCACTGGATGAAGCAAGTGTGTGACTGCGGCTTCGGTGGGGGATTGTTTTATTCATTCATTTATTCATTCATTCACTTATTCACGTCACGCACACGCACTGAGCCCTCATGTGCGCCAGATCCATGCTAGCCGCTGGGTACAGAGAAGTATGCAAGAGACACCTTGTCCCCAACACTCCCTCCACCTCCAAAAAGAGTCAGTTTCTAAACTGACTACTTGGAACTTAAGGTGAATTGACTTAAATAAATTACTATGAAAAGGGGTTAGGTCCACAATATATGGAACTCACTAGCCTGAGTTCTGAGTCCAGAGAGCAAAGGAAGGAAGAAAAACAATTTCCTTTCTGTTGAATGGCAGAAAGCAACATTTCAGTTAAATAATTAAAAAAAGTTAATACTTTTTCTCGGAGACTATAGTCCCACCAATTTTTCTGCATGTTTGTCAAACCTACCTGTCAATCTACCCTAACACTGTCTACCCTAACACTGACTTCCTCCCAAATACAAAATATTTTGCAACTTCCACTATAACAAATGTTGAGAACAAAGTATAAAGGAAAAAAATGTGCTTGACATGCCATCATCCAAAAATAACCATTATCAATATCTCGTGTTTGTTTCTATACATTTTTAAAAATTAATGATACACCAGACCTGCCTGACCTCTGAGAAACAGACCAAGCATTTCTCTGTGCAGACCTCCCAGTGGACACGGAGCTGCAGGGCTGACACCAGGCCCTCCTTTAGGAAGCCTCAGCTGGAACACGCCCCTCCAAAGCCTCCTCCTCAGCACCAAGAAACAGTAGCACAAAAAGTGTGCACTGAGGGACAATGGACTGATACGACTTGAGCCCTCATGAGTCTTTTCTAAAGAGGGTGCTTATTAATGACACCAACAATATGTCCAACTGGTAGATTTTCAGGCAACATGAAGAAACACTTCCATACATTTTGAGGAAAATGGAGGCTGGATCGTGTCCTCCACAGGTGGCTGTAAAACCTATCTGCACTGCCTGGGACCAGAGTTGGAGCATCCAGCTTTATGTGCATGTGCACGAGAGACACAGACACACAAACACACACACACCCCACCCTCACCCACACACCCCTCCTCTCCCTCCCTGCCAACTAACACCTCTTGTCCCAGAAACTGTGCCAGGAACTACAGTTTCTCTCAAAGTGCCAAGCTTCTCATATTGATCACTTTTATCACTCAGAGGCCTTTTAGGGATGCAAATGAATCTACAAATCTTAAGTGGAAGGAAACAGGAAACTAGTTATATGGCAGAGTTGAGCACCCAAAAAAGACAACCTAGAGACGCAACAGCAGGAAGCTACAACCACTGCAGGGGGCAGGGACAAGACCAACAGTGGTATTGCTGTAGCCCAGAGGGTGCAAGTAGCTGGCAGAAGCGAAAACCTTGGGGGGCCATGCGCAGTGAAAACTAGAGGCACACAGCTGCTGCCAGAGCCCTGCCCCAAAAAACCTAGTGGAGGGAAGGACCCTGGGGTTCCTGGCTCCCTCGGGTTCCAAACTGCTACTGACCCCTTGCACTGGAGGAGCCCAGCACCCTGTGCCAGCAATGCGGAGCCGGAGAAACAGCCTAGAGGGATCAGCTTTCCTGTGACACAGCACAGAGCAGGGCAGCACCAGGACTGCCAGCAAACAGGTCCAGGGCCGCACATTCTGAATGGCAATGTCAACAAGGAACTAATGGTAGAGGAGGACGGAAAGGTCACCGATTCAGGTGCTACTGTTCAACGGGAACTATATTCCTGAGGCTACGAGGCCACCTCCCCTCCACTCCCTCAAGGCATTACGCAGGCACGGCTGCTTTGCAGGCTCCCCGTGAGCCAGTTTCCCCAGTGTGCTTACTCACAGCCTGTATGCGTCCAGAAGTCAAGATTTTTCTAACAAAATCCTACACACTAACATAGAAATCTATTTGTTATCCAAGTCCCAGTTAATGACTTACTTCAACATCTGCCGGATGGCATGCATGGCCCAGCTACTGCTCAAGCATCAAGGATACAAAGACCAGGACATAGCTCTGCCTGCCAGGGACAGTCACTGGGAGGGAGAAGCCACACTCTGGTCCTCATGTCCCAAGAGGGTAGGGGTGCTTGCTGTGCTTCTGTGACCAAGCACCTGGCTGTGGCAGGACTTGTAGCCACCCTGTCTATGTGCTTCTGCTGCACATAACAGAACTTCCAGTGTTTAACCAGGCCATGCCACCCAGAATAGAAGGCCTCATTTCTACCCCCTTCTCCAGCTACCTGTGACTATCCATCTAAGTTCTGGCTAAAGAGACTGAAGTGAACGGAAGCATCCCTGCAAGGCAGCACGTGACGTTCTTCACGTGCCTTATTCCTACTAACTGGAGTGAGGCGCTGGCGGCCCCAGTGGAGCAACCACTTCAAACCTAGTAATTGAGACCATAGGGAGCAAAGCAACAGGACAGAAAGGAACCCAGTCCTGATACTGCAGGATCCCAAGCCAGCCTTGGACCACCTACTTCTGGACTTGATTACAAAAATGAGAATGAACATTTGTTTAAGGCAGGGTTTGGGCAGCTTCTGCAAAAGGATAAACAGTAAGTATTTAGGCTTTGAGAGCCTATATGGCCTCTGTCCCAGCTACTGAATGCAGCTGTTGAGGCTGAATACAAAGAATAAATGCATGAACATCTGTATGTTCCAATAAAACTTTATGGACACAGGGCCTCCCCTGGTGGCGCAGGCAGCTGAGCGCCACGCTGTGAAGCTGTCCGCCGTCTGCAGCGCTGGTTTGATCCCTCCTGGCCGGCCGGCCAGCAAGGATCCCACATGGCATGGCAGACCTCTCCTGTCTCACCCGCTGCTCCCCTCAGCAGTGTATTTCGTCAGTCTACCTGTTCTGTTCCCTTCCCCACTCTGTCTCTGGTGAATCCTCTCACCCTCCCGCACATCTGGCCTGTACCCCAGCTCTTGTATAAAATAAATAAATCTTTAAAAAAAAAAAAAACTTTACGGACACAAACATCTAAATTTCGTATGGATTTTCACTATTTCATGAAATAGTATCCTTCCTTTGATTTTTCCCCCAAACATTTGAAAATGGAAAACTCAGTCTTCGCTTGTAGACTGTACACAGGGCAGTCAAATTTGACCTAAGGCCCTTAGTTTGCTAACCAGGGTTACTGAGAATGTCTCTTTAAATTGAACCCATCTCTGACAGATACACACAACACCAGGCAGAGAGCGGGTGCTCAGCAAAGGCCTGTGGAGTGAACGGCAAGTGATCTCCCACACCCGGCCAGCAACGAGGGAACATTAGGGGAGCGACATCTCATGACATCTCACCCTGATCAAATACATGGGTGAAGGTTTGCTCAGAGATGACACCAGAGCTGACTCCTGAGGAAAAGGGTGTTAGCCACAGCAAATGCAAAGTGGCAAGGGTGGGTGAGAAGTTCAAAGTTCAGGCAGAAAGAGCAGGTTGCACAAATGCAGAGGAAGACAGTGAGATGCCTCTGAGGACCTGAAGGTGACTCCCAGGGACCACGCTGGTGTGTGAGGGTAGAGCCTCGTCCGTGGGGAGGAAATGCCAAGTCCACTAAGGAACCTGGACTACTTTCTAAGCAATACAGATCCAGGAGAGAATTTGAAGCTAGCAGGTGACATGACCACATTTTCAATTTTAAAAATCACGTTGCCAACAGTACAGACAGATTGGAAGAACACGACTAGAGACAGGGAAGCCAGCATCTTCACTGTGAAGAGGGCCCTCATCTTCCTGGATGATGGTTTCTTGCTTCTGTGCCCCCAAACTTCTGTATGCACTACTCTCATCACACCGTCACAGAAAATAATGTTTTCTCCCTGTTTCATGTATTCGTATTTACATATTTCATGTAAATGTATTCATGTTTCTTTTACATTACATGCGTCTTAAAAACAGAAACTCTAATGTATTAATTAACTCTGCAGCCCCCAGCATAGCCAGCTCAGGAATTTGCTGTTATTGAGCAAATGCACCTAATTCCAAGTGATCTGGAAACATATCAGATCCAGTCAACGTTAAAGCAGCTGATTTTCAAGGACAGCCTAAGGGTAACAAAAACCAAGCCACAAACTGCCAGACAAGTAGGAGGGGCTGTCCCGGTGGCCCCCCCTCCCTGCTGAGGCTGGAGAACCCTCCCACAGTAGCCCAGGTGTGCAAGAACCTCACCGGCATGGGTATCTTAGAGAGCTCTTTGCCAATGCAGTTCTTCATGATGCTCCATAAATTGAGACTATAGTTCGGCTTGTATGGTATTCTAGTTCTCTTTTCTTTCTTGGTCTCTTCCAGCTGATGTTTGTACTAGGAATAAGAACAAAGCCATTTAATGACCCACAAAGAACACAAAACCCAGTATTTGTAACCTTCCCTTAGGCCCCCAAGCTAAAAAGCTCAGAATTTTCTGTTTCTCTTAGCACTTTTCAAGCAGACTCTAGAGAATCATATGCAAAGCCCCTCACTGCTGATAACTCCCAAATAAGAATTACCTGTTCATCGAGGCTGATGTCGCTGCTGGCTCCACTGATGTTGCTGCCAGTGCGTCTACATGGATGGGAAACAGAGCAATCAGGATGAAGACCAGAACCGAGTCTGGTCTCAGCATATCTTTACAAAGCGGAGCTAAGCAGACTGCACGCACTTATCAATGGTGCCTGAAAGACAACGCTCAGAACAGAGCACCCATGGATGTAAACATCACTGGGGAAACATGTGTGGGCAGAAAGCTGACAGAGAGCCCCGCTCTCCGTCCAGCTCAGTAACTGTGATACTCCCTCTGAAATAGGTCTAATCTTTTGAGTGTCAGGTATGTTTATCTGGGGAGGAGACAAGAATAACTTACTTGTGGCCCAGATTTTCAGGCATGGTGATGATCTCGGGAGCATCAAAAAATTCATTCTCATCATCCTCATCGCTCATGTCGCCTTTGCCCGAGCAGCACTGATCTATAAGGAGAAAAGCCCATTCATGTACTGTGGCCACATTAACCAAAGCTTGGCTCAGGGGGACCTTTTAAATACTAACCACAAACAGCAACAAATGTTAGAAGGGAAAGCCAGAAGAAATAAACAGTGCCAATTTCACGTCACAAAAATCATTGATTCTGGAGAATATGGAGTCTTCTATCAATTGCAGGAAACCACCTGGCTCACACCAGAATAGGCCACCCAAGAACCACGCCTCTTACCTTTACCCGAGCCGGCACTGCCCGGAGTGTTTGCAGGCAGGACCGTGGCTCCTCGGAAGGCCCTCTCCAGGTGATTGTGCTGCTTTGCCAGCTGCTCAAGGGTCTCTTCCAGTCGGATACGCTGGTCTCTTTCATACTGTAGTGACTTCTGCCATTTTTTACTATGGGTCTGAGCTAACATGAGGAAATCTCTGCAGGCCTGTACGGAGAAGATTTAATAAGTGTCACATCAACTCAACCAGTCAGAGAGTCCCCTCAAGCCTCTGTATGGCCATTCATAACCTTATTCTGGGAACTTTAAGGGGCAAGTTACAATGAAAGACTTTCCCTGTTATCCCACAGTATCAGGGACAGCCAGCTCCGTGATGCAATCAAGGTCAAACCCAGGAGAAAAAAATGGAACATTTTTTTCCCTATGGTTGTCACGTCTCTTTCCTATTTTCCTGGTCACGAGGACCAAACAAATGCCAAGCGAGCAGTAAACCTAGACAAAGTATTTGTGGCAACATCACAAAGGGCAGGTAATGTGAACAGAATGTGGAAAAGCACAGGGTAACTACTTTTGATAAATTCCCCCAGTAAACTCAAGTCACCTAAAGTTGAGGAATTCAGGCACTAAGAAGAGAGAATCTGCACTGAATTAGACCAAATATGGGAAACTTAATTTTTTATTTTGATCTCTCTGAGAAACAACTGACCTTAAAATTAGAGGCCTCCCAAGGAATCAAAGAAGGGATCTGGAGACGACACACACATCCAGTCAGATCAGTCCCTCCCCGGGCCTGGCGGAGAGCAGGACCACAGCCCACCTAGCGCTCCAGAACATCCAGGGCCCTTCACAGCAGGGCCACCACCCATCTTGAATCTCCCTCTCCGGGCAGCTGCCGCCGCCCCTGCACCCTCCATGCAGCGCAGCCTTGGAACTGCTCTCACCGTTGCTCAGGCACACATTTCTGTCAGGCCTGCCCACCACAGGAGGCGCTATCTGCTCTGCCCATTCCTACCCCTCTTTCTCCACTTTAGCCAAGCCCTCTTCATTCTTTAAGCTCTATGGCAGTTGTTAATCCCTTTGACTTTCCCCCAGTCTGTTCTCTCACCCCCACAGCACTCTACACTACTGCCATGTCCACAGCAGCACCGTGACTGAGTTTCTGCCTCTCTACACAGATTATGAACAACCTGAAAACCAGCTTATCGCTTACTTGTATACATATTTCAGCTCCTGACTTAGTTGCCTTGTACATTCTATGGGCCTGGTAAAGTCTGCCCAATAAACAAATGAAGGAAGGAAAGTAAGCTTGACACCCACGCCCTGTTACAGAAAAACTCTGAGGGAATGTCTCCTCCCAAGACTGCCGGTCAGTGCCTACCAAGTCAGTACTTCCAGCCCTGGGCTCATGGGGCTTCAGGTCAGAGGAATGCCTAACCAACAGTGTACAGTACTCTCAGCAGCAGTAGGCACTATGCTCCCCTTCTGACTCGATAGCTCCCCTTGGTGTCCCCATCCCAAGAAGCACTCCAGGGCCCTTCCACCTGCTCAAGCCAGAAACCTAAGGGGCCTCCTCAAGTCTGAGTTTTTCTTCCCTCCCCCAAACCTAATTACTAAGTGCGACTGAATCTTCTCTGATGTAATAATTAATTCTTTAATAATTTCTGAAATCTAGGGCCTCCCTGGTCGTGCAGGGGTTAAAGTCTCAGTGCTGTCAAGCTATCGCCAGCCAATGCAGCCTGAGTTTGATCCCCAGCCAGGAAATGGCCTGCATGGTGCAGCAGACCTCTCCTGACTCCCCGCTGCTCCCCTCAGCAGTGTATTTCAGTAGAACTGCCTGTTCTGCTCCTCACTCTGTTTCTGGTGAATCCGCTCACCCCCCACACCTCTGGCCTGTACCCCAGTTCTTATATGCATAAGTAAAATTAATCTTTAAAAAGAATAATTTCTGAAATCTACTTCTCTTTCCTTTCTCCATACTCAGAGGCAGTGCAGAGTACATACTCCACAGCTGGAGTGTTAGGGCTCAAATCCCAGCTCCATCTACCCACTCTCTAGTTATTAATTAAGTTATTAATTTTTCCGTACCTCCTCTTCATCTGTAAACAGAGCAACAATAGTAACCATCTCACAGAGTTAAGGCTTTATATGTAAACCACCCAGAACCCTGTCAGGCACAATAAGGAGTAACAACAGTTCAGTCTGCATCAAAACCAGTCTTCTCCTCCTCTAACCCGCTATTACCAAGCTCACTTCGCACAGTCTGCATCCTGTCCCCCCCCCACACACACTTAACTCCTCTCCAGTCACCTTCAGTTACTTCCTTGCTCTACTAATAGTCAATAACAAGCAGTTTCCAGACTTAGTGGGGGAGTGGGAGGGGGCGCACTATGCCACACTTCTACCTGGATCAACTCTTCTCCCGTACTTTATTTTAATAATACTGACCGTAACTAAAATCCAGTGAGAGACAATTATATGCCAGACACTTTGCTGAGCACTTTGTATCAATTACGCAATAAAAGCCTTTCAACAACCTTGTAAGCCACCACTGGTATCACCACCATTTACAGCAAGGAATTGAGGTCACAGAGGAAGCAGGGTGCCCCGGTGACATAGATTGTGAACCGGGCAGCTGGCCTTCAGGACACCAGGTTCCACACTGCTTGTCTGCGCAGGAAGATTCCTGCAATCTTTGAGAAATTCCAGGTGTTTCCTTCTGCATCAGAGCTGACAGCCTCCAGGCTTCTGTGCCACAGCAGCCCTGCTCACGTCCACCCTGGCACTTGGCACACGCCATGCTGACCTGTTCCCATCTCACCCCTCACTAGAGACTTACCCTCTGAGGGCAGGGACCACGTCTACATTTGATTTTTTTTTTTTTTTTTTTGGCCTTTGTTGTGTGTCCCTAACCTAGGCTGGAAACAGAGAAGGTACTCAGCAGGTGTTCACCGGATTAGCAAATGCATACACTGCAGGGTCAAATTACTCCCCTGGTTAGACTCACTTCAGTAGTAAGGAAAGCTATGCCCTGAGAAGCAAGAAATCAAGTGAAATGTGGTCTCCCTTTGACAGAACTTAGTCCACACAGAGATGTGACGCCCTAGTATGTGCATTTCTAAGCTCCATATTACACTTGAGGCCTCACCATCATCACTTACCGGCAAGGTAGAAAGGAAACAAGAGACAAAAACCATCTTTCCAGCCATACCCACTGACAAGAGTGGCAGACAGCTTACCAAGGGAGAACAGAGCGAGAAAGTGGCCTCCCAAGGGGCTGTCCCTTTGACACAAACTCCAGACACATAGAACTTGGGGAAGAATTGCCTCAAGGAATAAAACTAAGCATATTTTCAAAAGAAAATTCCAAATGAAAGTTTCAGTTTTATGAGAAAGTTTCAAATCAAAAGAGGTTTTATTTAGTAAAATTTTCACATCAGAGTAGAAATAAACTGTCAGAGAGTAGGGTGTTCATCTGACATGGATAAAAGGCGACATTCACTATCAGGAGGCCATTGTGTCCTGAGTTGTTCTATTTAAAAAAGTACATTTACTTGCTATTGGTTATCTGACCAGTTTGATTTCTGAGGTTTTGCTGATCACAAGAGGACCAGAAAAACAGGCTCCAGTCACTGAGAAGTGAGACAGTTTGGAAACAGAGCACATGACTAGACATCAGAAACACAGGCACAGGGGTGATTTGTAGGGTGGTCTTGGGAGACAGCTGGTCGTCCCGCAATCCTGAGGTGGACAAAAGGTGTCTCTTCTTGTATGAATTGAGCATCAAAGGCGTTCAAACTTCAGACAATATGAAAATAACAGTTATCATGACTCTGTATTAAGCAACAAAAGGGTTTCAATTAAGAAAAATTAAATTTTCCTTTGTTCGCAGGAAAGGACCTTCGCTCTCCAGAATAGCTAGCTCTCAGCAAATAGACTAGCTCTCAGCAAATATCTTAGTATCCCTCCCTAAACAAGGAAAAATCTGGCCGGAGTAAAGTAAAACTAAACATAGAGCTTCCATATGATCCAGCAATTCCACTCCTAGGTATTTACCCAAAGGACACAGAAACATCCATTCCAAAGAGCACCTGCACCCCTATGTTTATAGCAGCACTATTTACAATAGCTAAGCTTTGGAAACAGCCTAGATGCCCAAAAATAGATGACTGGATCAAGAAGATGTGGTCCATATACACCATGGAATATTACTCAGCATTCAAAAAAGATAAACACATGCAATTTGCAGCAACATGGATGGCGCTGGAAGGGATCATGCTCAGCGAAATAAGCCAGAAAGAAAAAGAAAAATACTGGATGGTCTCACTCATAGCAGGAATCTAGAAAACTTAAATAAGGGACCAGGAAAAAGAATAACTATAAGAAAGTGAAAATCCAAAATCAACAAACAACTATGAACCAGAGACACTCTATGGGGGGTGGGGGGCGGGGTGGGGGGAGGAACTGGGGTCAAAATAAGGTGGTCGCAATTGTATGGGGAATATAAAAATAAAATTTATTAAAAAAAAAAAAGTAATTTTATCCCACTTAGATAGGAAAAAAGCCCCTACATAAGCCTGTTCTTCTAGAGCACTCTTCTCACCTCCCTTATGAAACACCCTCGAGAGCCCTTCCATGGAAGCTGACAGAAACAGCCCTCCAGGCGATGCTCAGTCGGGAGCAGAGGACACACGGCAGATTTAAACCCTGCACTCAGTTCACACCTACCAGCCATGTCTGAGCTGCCTCACTAATGTCAGCCTGGCTTGGGTTTATCTTGAGCTTTGCACCCAAACAGCAGGTTTCCACCAACCACACCCATTATTCCACAACGGCACCCAAAGCAGCAGTCATAAGGAGGCACAAATATTGGCCCCCGTTTTTTCTTACCACCCAGATTCCTCCCTAAAGTCAAGGACTAATAACTGGGCCAATTTGATGGGCTTCTCAGCCTCTCTGATACGGATGATCCCACCCCCCACTGCCACTTGGTGGGCCAAAATATATCAGCAATTAGGGATAAGATTCCAACCTACAGCTCAAAGAACATGACAGCAGAGGGACCCACAGAGACCTTTCTGTTCCCACAGATAAAGTTAGATAAAAATAGATAAACCCACAACAGAGAGGAGTTAAGGGGTTCAACTAGCATCATCTTCTGAGGTCCTGCCAGTGGCAGAGCTGAACTCTGGACACCTAACTCACTCCCTGGAGCAATGTCCCGGACCCTTTCAGCAGAGCATGAAAGTCCCTCTATGGGTGCAGCCTGTTCTGTTCCATGCAACAAACAGCGTAAGTGCAATCTCTTGACCAGTGAAGGAGGACCTGATGTTCTGTGCTTTGTCAGTTACAATTTCCCCACACTTGGAGAATTACATTTCAAGAAGGAACAAATCAAAAGCAGCAGACGCTGTCTGCACTTACATTGATCATGGCATTGGACGTTATCCTGAAGAGTGTGGCCCGCTCATTGACCTGCTTGATCTTCTCGTTGCTCTCCGCAGGCAACCTCAGGGACTCGAGCTCACTGAGGGAGCGCTGCAGCGCCGTGCCGTGCTTGGCTATCAGGTCATTGCACGTGCTCAGGTCCTCCACTTTGCTGGAGAGGGTCCGGAGGGTATTCTGCAGCTCTGTCTTGTCAGTTTGTGAGACAGACTCTTCATCTCCAGACTCGTCTGTAGGGTGGAAAAAGAAGTTACATAACTTCAGGCTCAGCACTCAGTCAGAACCCTAATAACCAAACTGGCACTGGCCACACTGGGCATTCTGACCACAGGAGGGCCTGTATTACCGGACCTCTGTCGAAAGTGTGGCCCCCAGTCCACTGTTGGACAAGCATCACCTTTTTCCCCTGGGGCACACGATTGAATTTATTTTGCTCGTGCTTCCCTCCGCCCCCCACACCAGTTTTATTGGAATGTAACTGACATATAGGAAGTACTGTGTAAGGTTCAGGTGTAGCATAATGAAGTGACTTATATATATTGTGAAAGGATTGCTGCAAGCTTAGTTAACATCCAACATTTCACAGAGATATTAAAAACAACAACGGATTTTTTTTCCTTGTGATGAAAACATTTTGAATCTGTTCTCTTAGCAATTTTCAAATATACCACACAGAGGTGTTAACCACGGTACCATGCTGTACTTGACATCCCCAGGATTCATATATTATATCACTAGAAGTTTATGCCCTTTGGCCACCTTTAGACAATTCCCCCACCCCCCATCTCCTGGCCCTGGATTCTTCTTATAGGTGCAGTCTCTGACCACACCCCCAAAGGCTGATTTAGCTAGTGAGAGGCAAAGGCCAGGAATCTGCAATTCAAATAAGCTGCCCAGGTAATTCTGATGACCCTGAAGTTTGACAACCAATGACCAGGAGGACGGAATGAAGACGCTAAGTGGCTCTGGACTGGGAATCAGTGAATGAGCATTTTAACTCTAGCTTAAGGGTGTCACTCCAGTCTGAGCTCTGTGGGAGATCAGTGGGCCCTGTATGAAATGTGCTAGGAATCTAGCTTTTTGCAAACAAAACCCACATCACTAAAAAAAACCTCATTATTTATCTTCTCTGAAGGAGAACTCAGGAACTTCATGACATGCTAACTTGACAATAAAGTCACCGCTGCATCCAAAACAGTGCAAGGCCTTCTGCTGAGCGACTCTCTAGTGCAAAGTCAAGCAACGAACGAAGCTGTGCCTCCCACTATCACTTGCACTTAACGTTTTGTAACTGCAAAGTGCTTTTCCAGCAGTGTCACTTCCTTTAGGGGAGCTAACATCAGCACTAAAATCAAAACAAAAGACCTGCATGATCTGCTAGACAGCGCGGCAGGTCTGGAGTAAAAATATAACCTGTTACCCAAAAATTATAAAGCAGTGAATCTTCCTTTCACTGTTTACTAGATATGAAGTACAGTATGGGAATGACCAGTGATAAGAAAAACTAGATTAACAGGGGACTCTCCTGGTCAGCTCTCAGCGAGCAAATGCAATATAATTTAAATTATCGATATTGGGGGTGGGGGGAAAAATCTCATCATTTTCCTTTAGGAAAAATAAAAATATAATTAGGTTGTTCTTGATTCTTGAAACTAAGAGGGCAAAAATGTCATAGAAAATACCACACATGATGTTTCTGGTAGTCTTTACTCTTTCAACTCAACTAATAAATAATTGAGAAAATGTGTCAGAAGAAATAAGCAAGGACAGATATAGTTCAAGATTGAACTAGCAATAAATAATTATTTCTCAAAATTTTAAGTCATCAACTGGCTACTATCAAAAATTGAACGACAAATATTTTGCTTCTAGGAGAGTCTTTGAACTTCAGCATTACTGACATTTTGGGTCCAATAACTCTTTGTTGTGGGGGTTGTCCTGTGCATCCTGTCACAATAGTTTAAAGTAGCATTCCTGGTCTCTACTTGCAAGACCCCAAAATCATCACCACCCCTTAGCTGTGGCCACACAATTTGGCAACAGACACTGCCAAATGCCCCCTGTGAAGGAGCACCGACCCCAGCTGAGTACCACCAGTCCAGGAGAAGCACAGAGAAGCCTGAGACAGTTGATAATTAAGGACAATAGGGATAAAATAAGATTAATGCATGAGGGGCAAACAGAAAGTTCCCCAGCATGGCATTCTTTGCTCCATACCTGATTCTGCCAGCATCTTCACAGCCTTGGCCTTGGCCAGCTCAAGGGCTGTCACCCAGCGCTGCCGCTCCACTTCAGAGCTAGCCTTCAGGTGGTAGGTCTGCGCCCCCCCATTGGAAATGATGAAGTTACAGGAGTCCTCCACAGTGATGTTGGCTGTGGCAAGGTTGATGGTTCCGCGGCAGGTGTGTCTCATTTCTGCCTTTGACCTGCAATTGCAAGAAAAAGACAAGCTAAGTACAAAGCCGAAGGCTGGGTTATCCTTACCCGTTCTCCACTTCTTTTCATAGGTCTAAGCTTTCTGAAAACACAGGAGCTTCAGGAATCATCAAATTCCAATATTTCCTTTAAATGGTTCCCTCTAATCAGTCAGTAGGCTTTCCTTTCTGAGCCTGCAAGTGCTTTTTTTCTGAGTCAGATTTTATGGCTCTGCTGTTCCTCTTACCTTTCGTATTTTAAAAAGAGGCTTCAGTGAGGTGTAACGACATACAATATAAATTCAGCAATTTAAACTGTGCAAATTCAATGAGTTCTGACAAATAAAAACAATTGTGTAACCACCTCCACCATCCCAGTGGAAAACATCTCCATCACCCCCAAAACTTCCTCATGCCCTCTTGCAGTCAGGAATCACTTTTCAGCTAACAAGTTATAATTATAAAGCACTTTACAAACTCATGCAACAAAGCTTCGTACAACAACTCCAGTCCCCCAAAGAACAGCCCCATCTTACATATGCTGCAGGCGCACCCGCTCAAGTGTAACTCAGTGGAATGGAACTGTCACGCTGTGTCAGTGTCAGCTGCAGAAGCTGGAGGACACTTGGATGTTTAGTGCTACACACTGACCACTGCATGAGTGATATGGGATAGGAACAACTAGCTTTCTTTGGGAGCAAGGAAAGAATCCCCAAGTGGTATACTCTTTCTGGAATATTTTTTCCTAAGGTCCACAGACCTCTTTTGGTGGGAACTCCTAAGCCAACCTATTAATAGCTAGGGAAGATTCAGCAAATCTGTTCTCAGAGGACTGGGTGTAAAAATTTTCCCCACCTCTACTGACTGACAGTTCTATTAATAAACTCACTTTTGAACCCTGCAGCACTCCTTGGTGACAACAGCTACTAAAATATCAATCTTCTAGCACAATAGGGTGTTCAGTGCAAAGGGTGCGAATTTCCCTATCACCCGTGGATTATGCCCAGGGACCATATGTTGAGACCACAGATTTTGCTGACCAACTTGGAACATAAAGAGGTCAAAGTCCTTTGCCAACTACCACAGTACAAAGCAGGGCCATTTCCCTTTCACTGGTGCCAAGCAGCCAAACACACCTGGCACGTCCAGAATTCCTGCGTGCCAGAAATGACACACACCCCATCTCCAGGAGCTAAGATTTAGTGTGTTTGACAAAGTCTATTTACTGTGCCTAGGAAAACAAATTTGCTATTGTTCAGTTTGTCACATGAAACTGGTTTTTCTTCCTCAGATATCCAAACGAGCAGTATGGGATGACCAGGGGGTCTCAAAGGACTGGGCCATTTTCCATCCCTGCACCTGCCGCACTGTAACGTGAACCCCTGTTTTTTCTATTCTTATCTCCCTTCCTCCGCCCTTAGCTTCACTTACATTATGAATAATGCAAACTCAATTACCCACTTGCCCCTGGCAGGCCAGTTCTCCCTTATTTTCTCCTCCAAAGGCCCTACTTCTTACAAAGTGTTGGTACCTTTCACACACCACTGCCTAGGAATCCCTTCTCCCTGGCTCATCCTCATGAACAAAGAAGTTTCTCAAATCACATGATGTCTGTAGCAGTTTTAAAAATACCAAGGAGGGCCTCCCCTGGTGGCGCAGCGGTTGAGCACTGGGCTGCGAAGCTGCCCGCAGCCTCTGCAGTGCCAGTTCGATCCCCAGCCACCAGCGAAGGTCCCACATGGCGCGACAGACCTCTGTACCCAGCGCTTGTATAAATAAATAAATAAATAAATAAATAAATAATTCTTTAACAACAACAACAACAAAAAAACCCCAAGGAACCCCGGGAGTAAGGCAGGCTTGGCCTCAGAGCTCCTGGATTTGGCCAGGTGTTCCTATGGCCATAATTGACATGTGCAGAGGCTGGAAAGACACAATTTCTAGGGTACAAGGTCAGTTCTTCAGGCACTACAGTACTAGGTGGTATTTTCAGGCTACAAAGTTCCTCCTCCCTGGAAGGCCAGCTGAAACAGTAACTCAACCTCTAGAGGGTAGGCAGAAATGTAATACTGTGGGCCTGTCATGATGTGTCTGGGATGCTACATATGGTTTAAAGTAACTGGACATTGCGTAACTGGGTATGTAAGGAAGAATAGGAAAGGCGGAAAAGAGAAGCGGCTTGCTGAAGTCCTTTAGAACAGGTCAGCAGAGGATGGTCTAGTTAGCACACGATCTCAGTTAAAAACAGCATTTTGTAGAAGACATACACAGGAGATGGCAGCTTTGGAAGCCTGAAAAGCAGAAGGAGTGGGGCCTCCCTGGTGGCGCAAGGGGTTAAAACACAACCTATGATGCCATCTACAGCCACTGCAGCACGAGTTCCATCCCCGGCCAGGGAGCTACCCACATGGCGCAGCAGACCTCTCCTGACTCACCCGCTGCTCCCCTCTTCCTGTTTGTTCCCCACTCTGTCTCTGGTGAATCCTCTCACCACCTCCCCATACCTCTGGCCTGTACCCCAGTTCTTGAATGCATAAATAAATATTTAAAAAAAAAAAAAAAGCAGAAGGAGTGACAATTTGACTCTTTCCAAGAAGATGTGGAACCGAAGAACCCTGGAGGGAAGAAAAACTACCAATATACCTATAGAAGTACTTCTATGATTTTGAGGGTAGTGCATAGATTTGATAACTCAGAATCCTGCTGTTTTGTTGGCTTGTGGGAAAGATCATCTTAGTGGGCAAGGGCAAGTCTATGGTATATTTCCCAATATATGGTTTGGTATGTTTTGGAAGGAGTTTTCTCTGTAGTCAGCTAGGTGCCGACCACTAGCTCTTGTAAGAGAGAAATCAGAAGTGGTGACAAGTCCTTGAAGAGAAAATATACAAACTATTATATCCAACCAAGATCAGTAATGGTCAAGACTGGTACTAATCAAGAGTCAAAAGCCCTCAGAGTGGATCTAGAAATAACCTGGATGAGGAAAAATGATCATACATTAAGGATCTCAGCTGATACACAACTTCAGCTTTTGAAAATGGTGAGCTAAGTTAGGACATGAATCAACTGAACATTAGAACAACAGTCAATGACAACAGGAAAGCATGGTCTTGAGCAGGGGGGAAAGTTCAGAGCAAACTAAAACTTTAAATTTGTGATCTAACCTTAAACAGAGTCCAGGCTGAGTAATTAGAAAGGGTTACACTTAAAATCAATTCTGAATAACGCCAACGACATACACAACCATCACAAGTCATGTAGCTTAAGCGCTGAAGATGAGTTCTCCAAGGCAGTTTCCATGGTTAGAGGCTACTCAAAAATGAGTTCTTACTTCAACGACCTCCAACTCCCACCTTCCATTTCCTCTCAAAATTCTTTAAGAGTCAATATAATGGAGTTGACGCAAAAGGTTCTCCCGGTGCCAGACTCTGGCAGAGGAAAAGAAACGGAGTGAGTTCATCTTACCAACAATGTTTCATTAAAAAAAAAAAAAAAATTCAACTAGAAATGTCATTCCATTAAGCAAGGTCTCCCTGGAAGGAGACTTTTATACATTCTGTATAAAATATACATAGTAATCATGACCTGTAAGCTTACTTGCTACATGTAAGTAATCACCTCCGTATCTGACTGACACATGCAACAGTAGCCTGGGCTTTAGGTGATGTTGGTGTGAAAAGTAGCTTCAAATCCTGCCTCCAGCACCTTGGGAAATCTGCCCAAGAGAAGTCTCAGTTTCCTCGTTAGCAAAATGGGAATATCGCTTACTCCCAGGGTCGTTGCTGGCGTCAACAAAATACTGTCTGTTAACACCCAGCCAGGCTCCAGCTCTCAGGAAATGCTTCTGTTCAGTCTCCAAATCCTGGATCCTAACCCCTTAATCTATAGGAACAGGAGCAGCCAAACGCATATTGTTAGGGCAAGGCCGTGAGTCACCATAAACGCATATTAAACCCTCCAAAACAAACACTGCACAGAGGAAACCCTACCGGCGAGATGCCTTCTCTCACTGAAACTTCAGCCTCACCCACCAGAGACCCCAGAAACACCGGGGCGGCCTCATCACGTCTCCTTCTCATGGGAGGCGGCGGGACCAGCAAGCAGCGAAGCGACACCGGACGCCCCTCTCCACCCCGAGCCCGTCGGGGGGCCGGGGGCAGACCCCGCCTGAATGTGGGGGCACACGCAGGGTGGGGTACACCCAGGGCCACTAATAACCTTGAACTCTGGAGACCGGGCGAAGGCAGCTGAGACTCGGGACTTTCCTGGGAGTTCCTCGGGAGCGGCGTCTGGGCTTCGCTCCCCGAGGGGCGCCCCCGGGCGCCCCCCGCAGCGCCCGCCGCGCAGACGGCATCGCCGCCCCACGGGCGGCGGAGGCCGCGGACGGGCGCGAGCGGGGCCGGGGCCGGGGCGGGAGCTGGCTCCGCGGCGGGCGGGCGGGCGGCCCGGGGGAGGGGCGCGCCGGGCTTCCCCGCGGGCGCGGGCTGTCAGCGCGCGCGGGCGACGGGAAGGGGCCCGGGGCGACCTTGGGGGCCGCGCGGGGGCGGCGGCGGGGGCCGGCGCCCCGGAAGCAGTTACCTGTAGTAGCTCAGGAGCCCGTTGCTCAGCACGAACCACCGGCGCTGGTAGCCCTTGATGTAGTTGGTCCACTTGAAGAGCCAGCCCTCCCGCGCCGAGCCCGAGCCCCCGGCGCCCGCGCCGCCCGAGCCCCCCGCCGGCGGCGCCGGGGCCGGGCCCGCCGCCGCCACTCCCCCGGCGCCCGGGCCCGGGCCGCCCGCCGCCGCCGCCGCGGCCACGGCGCCCGGCACGGCCCGGCGCCCGGCCCGGAGTCTCCGCGGCCGCCGCCTCCCCCGCCGGGGCCCGGTGCCGCCGCCGCCCGGAGCCGCGATGGCCGCCGGCCCGGGGCCCACCACTCCTCTCAGCTCCGTCGCCGCCATGAGCCGCCGCCGCCGCCCCGAGATACGCGACCGGAACCGCCTACGAGGGCCGCCGTCGCCGCCCCGAGCGCCCCACTCGGCTAGCGCATCAGCCGCCGCCGCGCCGCGTCCCCGCCCCGCCAGGCCCGCGCGGGGAGGCGGGCTCGGCCGCCAGGAAGGAAGACGTCGATTGGCGCCGCCGAGCGTCACTCGCGGGAGGCCCCCAGGACACTGGCGTTTCTCTCGGGCCTGTCATTCCGCGCCGCCCCGTGAGGGGCCGGGTGGGACGCGGCCGCCAGGCTCGCCGTTGACTGGTGCTAGCGAAGGCCAATCAGACGCGCGGGCGAGCTCATTGGTGGTTTCTCGCAGTCCCCGGCGCTAGGGCGGGCTCCAGAGTGCAGAGCGCCCGGCCAAGTTGATCGCCGATTGGCTAGGGTTTCCGCCACTCATTTCCGTGGCTGCTCCCGTCACCGCCACGTCACCCCCTCCATCACGCTTCTCCGCGTCCCGCTTCCGCCCTTAAGGATTGGTGGTTGGTAGCAGCAGCCCCACATTTTTCTGCCACAGACTGAGCGAAGAGAGAGGAAAGGGGAGGGGTCTTCGCGGCACGTCCTCATTTTCATTTTTTATTGGTTGTCATGAATGTCACTCATATGTCGGCATCGAGGGGGCGGTGATTGGAGGTGATTGGTTTAGGGAATTGTCTGTGAAAGCCTGCTGACCAATGATAGAGACGTACTGAGAGAGGGGCAGGCCGGGGCAACCAATAAAAATTGGGAAGAGCGCTTGGGGGCGTGCCGGCTGGGGGGCGGGAGGGAGTCTGTGCAAGGCAAGTGCCAGTCAGCGTCTCGAAAGCGTTTTTGATGTGGGCGTGATTTGCCTTTCCCTCTGCTTGAATTAAGGCCAGAGCGTCTGGTTGGGAAGAGTGACTGTCAGCTGTCAGCCCCCGCCCCGGTCTCTCCCCCGAGGGCCGCCTTCCCAGCAGCTGCCTGGGAGCTGGAGGCCTGGGTTCCCGGGCAGCCCCGAAACAGCCTCCCCAGGCTCTCCAGGTCCCCCCCGTGGCCGGGTCCACATCGCACCAGCCCCTCAGCTCTTGCTTCTGGGCCGTCCTCTGCTTCTCCTCCTGTCCCTGGAGCTGCTGACCCAGCTGTGAGAAGAGAATAGATTCGCGAGGACCTGACATGTGTCTGCTCCCACCCCTGCCCCTTGCAGAGCCCAGGGCCGTCCTAAGCGCACGTGTGTGCTACACCCTGCACAAGAAGTGGTTGTTTTTGACTATTTGACTTTTTTCGTGGATTTGTGGAAGCCACGAGTAATTCACTTAACATTCCGATGTTGTCAACAACGGTTGCGAATAGTCAAAAGCCCCATGCTTTGGGGTATCCTGCACCTGTTAGGTTTTGCCCGTTTAAACAGGCAGTGGAAATACCTGTTAGATACTGTAAAACAAATTGCTTTTCCTGGGCAGTGTTGTGAAGCCCCCCAAGTCTCAGCTTTCACTTCTGTTAAGTAGGAACAAAACTTTACAGGGATGCTATGGTGCTGAAATGCATTTGAACGTGTTTGCTAAACTGTAAATAGCTACAGAATGTGAGTTGTATTACCAATCAAGCAATGGACGACTAGCCAATCGCAAAGAAGAAACACATACTTCTACAATGGAAAAAGCTGGCTGTTCCCTCCTTCACCCAGTTATTCAACTTAGCATCAGTAACCCTGGGGCAATCAAGTGTTAGAAAGTCCCTGGTGTGCTGCAGCAGGAAGTATACAGCCTTGCTTTGTGGTATTTTCTTGCCCAAAAAGTCAAACCTGAATCTAATCAAATTTTCCATCTCACCTGTAGTTTACAGGGGCTGGAGGAACCAGCTAAACGACAGCCTGAAGGTGACAATCAGATAAATCTAGAACATGAGGCATTCTATAAGACAACTGGTTTTGCAGAAGATAAAGGCATAAAGATTAAGGAACGCTGGTGTTATAAAAAGGCATCACAGAGGGATTTAAATTTAAAAACTCAAAAGATACCACCAAAATTCTTGATTCTGGTTCTGAAAAATAGTTTTGTGGACATTTTGGGGAAAATTGGGGAAATTTGAAGATGGAATGGTATTAAATCATCTTCAGTAATTAGTACATTAGTTCAATATAATACTAGTATGACTGGTGGGGGGAAAGTCTTTAAAATTGGGAGAAGTATTTACTGAAGTATTTAGGAGTGAAGAATCATAGTGTCTGTTATTTCTTTTGAATTGATTCAGAAATAGAAGTAGAAGGAATCAGCCAGGCAAGAAAAAGTAATACTACTTTGAAATGCACACACACACATGTATCTGTACACATATTAGTACACAAAGCAAATTGGGGAAATGTTAGTGATTGAATGTAGGTGAGTGTTTTGGTGTTTAGTGTAATATCATTTCTACTGTTATGTCTCTGAATTTTTCTAAATGTTCTCAAAGACTGAATTGAGTTGTTACCCATAACTGCCTTCAGATTACAGCCCAAATTTCTTCACCTGGCCCCTGAGGCCCTTAACAATCTGGTGTCACCTCTCCAACCTTTCTCTTACTCTTTTGCCTTGATGTACTTTATGCTTCAATTAAAGGGATGCGTCTGTAATTTCCTTGGAACACATCTTTATCACATTTGCTCTGCGCTTTCCCAGACTGACTTCTTTGCCCATGCTTTCCCTCCTTTCAGTGCCCAGCCCAATCAATACTCTCCTGCAATGGTTTCCTCTCATTTCCCTGCCTAGAAGTAATACCCTTCCTCGGACGCTTAGAATTTCCCATGACACTGTCTTGCCTCAGAGTTACTTACGTTCCCTCCATAACACCCTACCTGACAGGGTGAGCCACATCTGTTTCCTCTTAGTTCCCTGAGAACAGCACACAGCCTGGCATGTTCATCCACTTAACAAATATTTACTAAGCCTGTGCTTTATCATCTCTGGGCTTGTGTCAAGTGTTGGAGACAGAGTAGTGATGCAGAGAGGCTCTAATTTCTCATAGAACATAAAGGATCTTGGGGACAGACAGACCAAGGAAAATATACAGTATTTGCATAGAGAGAATATGTACAGTAATTACATACATATATACCACAAAACAGAAGACAATCAACCAGCTATGAAAGAGAATAACAGGTGTAGCCTGTTTCAAACAGGTATAGAGCCTTCTGGGGGCTGGGGAGGAGTTAGAAAAGACAAGAACAGAGAGTCATATTGGAGGAGTCGCTGAGGCAGCGGGCTAAGAGTGGGGAGAGCAGGTGTAAAAGGCACACAAGTCCTCCGGAGGAGCTTGGGTTTTATTCCAAGTGGAAGCAATGGAAGGGACTAGGGTAAGTGACCCAATTTTTGTTTAAAATTATCCCTGGCTGATGTATGGAATCACAAGAACAGGAGAGGAGCTGGCAATTAGGAAGCTTCTGTAGCATTTTAGAAGATAACTACTGGTGATTTGATTGAATGGGGTGTTAACAGAGATGGAGGGAAGTGGACAGACTCCAGATGGGCGGGCAAAACTGAATGGGCATGTGACACTGATTCAGTGAGTGCTTGACGTTGGCATTTGATTTTATCACGACTCATCACCCTCATCTTCAACTCCAGGCACTAGCCCAAAGCTGGGTGATCTCTATGCTTTCCTTTCTTTGTTTTCCAAGTTTCCCAGTTTTATTGAGATATAAGGCAAACAGCATCATGTAAGGCTTAGTGGAGGGCAAGTGTAACATGTACACCTATGGGAGAACAAACATTAAAATAAAAAATTTTTTTAAAGATTTATTTATTTATGCATACAAGAGCTGGGGTACAGGCCAGAGATGCAGGGGGGTGAGAAGATCCACCAGAGACAGAGTGGGGAGCAGAACAGGCAGACTGACTGAAATACATTGCTGAGGGGAGCAGCAGGCGAGACAAGAGAGGTCCGCCTTGCCATGTGGATGTCTCCCTGGCCAGCCGGGGATCAAACTCATGCTACAGAGGTTGTGGATTGCTTCATAGTGTGGTGCTTAACCCTTTGCGCCACCAGGGAAGCCCCCCAAATTTTTTTTTAATTATGTAAATGTAAGGTGTATACATGATGATCTAATACACATAAATATTACAAAATGATTAGCACAATAGGGTTAGAAACACTTCCATCACCTCATAATAACCTTTTCTTTTAAATGGTGAGACTATTCAAGATCTACTCTCTTAGAAACTTTCAAGTATATAATAAGAGTATTGTTAGCTATAGTGACCATGCTGGGCAGATGATCCCCAGAGTTTATTCATCTTATAACTGAAAAGTTGTAGCCTTTGATCAACACTTTCAAGCCCCACCCTCTCCCCCAACCCCCTGGTAACCACCATTCTACTGTCTGCTTCTCTGATTCACTGTTTCTTTGATTCCACTTACAAGTGAGATTATACAGTATTTGCCTTTCTCTGTCTGACTTATTTCACCTAGCAAGATGCCCACAGATCCATCCATGCTATCTCAAATGGCAGGCTTTCCTCCTTTTTCATTGCTGAATAATGTTTCACACTTTCTCTACCCATTCATCCGTCAGTGGATACTTAGGCTGTTTCCACGTGTTGATTACTGTGAATAATGCTGCCATGAACATGGGGGTGATTTCATTTCCTCTGGATTTATTTATTTATTTTTAAAGATTTATTTATTTTATTTATACAAGCACTGGGTACAGTCAGAAGCACGGGAGGGTGAGAGAATTGACCAGAGCCAGAGCAGGGAGCAGAGCAGGCAGAAGGACCGAAGTACACTGCTGAGGGGAGCAGCGGGCGGCAGGAGAGGTCTGGGCGCCATGTGGGACCCTCACCCGGGTGCTGGGGATCAAACTGGCGCTGCAGAGTTTGCGGGCAGTTTCACAACCCAGCGCTCAACCGCTGTGCCACCGGGGAGGCCCTCCTCTGGATTTATACCTGGAAGTGGATGTACCTGATCATATGGTGGCTCCATTTTTTATTTTTTGAGGACCCGCCATACTTTATGCACCCTTCTTTACTGACCGAGGCATTTGTGCTTTGTAA